AAACAAAGTGGCTTCTACACATTCAGAAAATCCCCTTTTCCTCTCAATAATCCAAACCATAATATTTGATGCAAAGAAAACATGCGGGTTAATAAAACTAATCAAGCATTGCTCAATTCTAGGATTCTTGTGTCATTCATCCAAATTTTTTAGTTATCCATATTTTATTCCATCCATAAAGGCAAAGGATTAGCAGTCAGCTATTGTTGAACCTGCAACCAGGGAGTGTTTCCAGTAGTAGAGCTACTCTAAATGAAAAATCTAGTTTTTAACCAACGCCCAGGCAGCAGTAAGGGGCTTTTCTATAATATTTGAATGGAAAATTCCACAAATTTACAAAAAAAACCCAACAAATTTAAATGAGTTTGTATCTGAAACTGGAATCCTTCCAGGATATTGATCTCTACATCTGTAGTATTCCTAATGGATTCCGATATTTACTTTGGAACAATTATGTTAATCAAGCTAAATCCCACAATTTATTTTGAATTAACCTAAAATTGAACATTTTTATTGCTTCAGTCAGCCAATCAGCTGTCTACAACTTCTTTCTAACATTTTAAGAAGGTTTATTATTATTTCTACTCCATCCAATCTAGAATAAAAGGTGAGAAAGAAAGGTCAAACATCAGCATCTGATCAGAATACATCCAGAACATGTATTTGAACATATTCATATTCATATTCAAATGCTGCAGATAAAAATCTAATCCAAATGAAATAATCAACAGGTTTCTTGGCCAAAAATATCAGCGAGCAGAGACAATTATTTTTTTTTTTTTAAGTTATGTTGAAATGTATGTATCAAAAATGTTTTTCTTGTTGTTTTTCTTATTTGAGAACTATTTCATCAAACCTGCTTTATCTAACTAATCTTTTTAGTATTTGTAGAATTTAATATTTTCCACATTTGGATGCATTTTATGAGCAACCTAAAATGTTAGCGATTTTTTTTTCTTGGTTTGGACTTGTTTTAAGTTTTATTATTTTATCACAGCCGTGTCAATATCTGTTCTCTTCTTGTTTAATCAAACACTGGTGTTTCAAATACATTTTTCATTTTTTTCTCTCCCACTGTTTACTTTATTTGCACTGGAAAAAAAAGAGAAATGTTGATTTTAAAGGAAGCATGGGCAATTATGAGGATCTCAATGCATGATAACCTTTCAATTCAGAACATAAGAATTTGTTCTTTCCTATATGGGAAATTTCAAACTTCACAAACTTCAAGTGCAGCAATTTTCCACAAAATCCACTTTAAATTTCCAACCAATCACCCACCAGATGTTGGAGGCCACAGAATAAGAAAAGATAATATGTGCTTTGAGAACTCTGAACCCTGGATGGGTTAAAAACTCTTCCATTGCAGCCCTGAGAGAAAAAAAAAAAAAAAAAAGACTGGTCGTAGTGAAATTTTTACAATATTTGCATATAAACCTTAAATAAAAAAACAGTGATCAATTCTGCATCTGGAAAATCTTATATAGAATATTTGTTATTACTCTTAGAACATTATTCTAGCTTGGATTCAGAGATTGAAGGGATAACAATAGAAAAGACTATTGTTGCAGAGAACAGGAGAGTTTTACATCATTAAAAGCTTAATATTTATTAGTTCAGGCTTTAAGCCTACAGACGGCTGAATTAAATGCAGCTCATAGATTTACAGTTTTCAAACTAATATGTTTGTTCTCCGTGCGCTTTAGACAGCTTGTTCTGACATTTTTAACCGCATCTCACTAAATAGACTTTCAACCATAGAAAACACATCACAGATCATCGTAACTATTTGACACGGGAACTTTTTGAGTCTTTTGTTAAACGTAGATAACAGGATTTGGAGTATTGCTTTCTCAGATGCTGGAATTATAGCGTCATTGTAATTAAGCAGGGATAAACAAAGGCCAGCAGAGTTAGGACAATAAAACACAAGGCTGCACTGACTTATCTATGGGGAGCTTTAATGGCATGATGAGCTCACATACAGGTTTTATGTGGTCATGTGAATTTGGTTTGCTGCCCACAGCCAGCTGGAGAAAACAGCAGAGCTACAGTGTCTGTATCAGGATGCTCCTTTGTTCTGAGTCAGAAGACTGCTGATGAGGTCAGAGATTGTCACAAGATGCTGGACTAAGTATTCGTACCCACTGATGCGCGAGAACGAGATGAGAACGCACAGGGCTTTAGCTGGGTCTAGCTGTTCCTCAGTGGGGAGGATCCATGCTGAGGTTACTGACACTCACAAGATAAATAAACTTTTTTTTTTTTTTTCGGGGTGGGGGGGGTAGCTACACTACATCTATAGGTTACTATGGTTTGGGATCCAGGAAACACTGAGCAGGTTTGCACAAGGGAGCTTTTTAGCACGTACACATCCATGCAGGTTTATGTATGGAAAGCAACGGCCATTTTTATTAGTGTTGCACCGATACCAATACCAGTATCAGGTGGGGCAATCCAGCACTAAAATGGTGGTATCGGAATCGGCGAGTACCAACAAATAGGGCACCGATACCATTTTGAGAGCCAAAAGTTTATTCAACAAATGTCATCCATTCCAGGTAGGCAATAAATCGTTCTACTGGATTTAATTTGTTTTAGCTGCAGCAGCTTGAAAAAGCCATGATGGCAATTATTTTACATCCAAGTAGTATGCAGTTCTTCATATATACACACACTCATCAATTCCAAACAGATGGTATCATTGTTGTATCAGTATGGTATCGGTATACCGGCCAAATACCAGGTATCGGGTATCAGGGCCAAAAAATGGCATCGGTGCAACACTTATTCTTATACATGTTTTGCTGCTTTGAAAAAATCTTTTTCTTTAATCATATTCCTCACAAAAAGAGTTGGTTTGCTTTTTTTTGCCACCATTCTGAATTGATAAAAATACCTCACTGCCTCTTTAAAGGCCATTTAGAAGAAAAGTCTTAAAGCTTCCTAATCATCTCACTCTAACGCCCTCATGCTTATTTTTTATTAGCTTTTTTTTAAAGTGACAAGATAATCTCACGATAACAAATATTTCACCCAGAGTAGAAACTAATTGTGCTACTGTAAAAATAATAACATAGTTCTTCAAAAACATTTTTTTTTCATAACTAAGGTCTTATTTATTTATTTTTTTACTGTAAATGTGAACTAGTCATGCGATTACAAAGTTGGTGTGGGTTTTTTTCGGCTTCTTTTCTCTGAATTTTGTTAAGGTAATCTCTCTTTTAGTCTACAGACAGGATTTCGATATGAAATCCAAAAAATGGGTTCAGTTGAACCAGAAAATAAATAAACATAATTTAAAAAAAGCTTTGCTGACAGACTTTTCCTGTGAAGCTTCAAAGATAAAAGTTATAGGAAAAGAATTTTAGGAGTGAATACAAAAATAAAAAAACAAGACATCAGAAGTCTTTTTTCTCTTAAAATCAGGACAATAATCATCAGATTTTTTCCCCATCAGAAATCTGTTGATCTTGTCAAATAATGTACATTAATGCCAGTAGGGGTGTAACAGTATTTACTGATATAAAATATGAGATACTAAAATGTAATGAAATGGCTTGGTGTTTATTATTGGACTGATGTCGTCTATTGAAATAAGCCTGCTTTATGAAAGAAAGTCTTTTCAAGATACATCTAAAACTTTTTTCAAATTATTTTTCAAAGTAAGGAAAAAAGGTATATTTCAATGGTTGGCAAAATGGACCATTCATTGAGCTGGGAGATCAATTAGCTTTTAGAAGTTCACGGAATGACTTTGAAAACATTTCTGAATAAGTAATTCAATGCCCAATAGGGAATTAAACTAGAAAGCTAACAACGCTAAAGCTAGCATCTAATCTGAAACTTCCTATCAACAATAAGCTAATTAGCTTTTAATTGTCCTCTAAAGCAGGGGTCTTCAACGTTTTCCAGGCCGAGGACCCCTAAGCTAATGCCGAGATGGAGCGGAGGTTTCTACCTGTTAAAAAGGGAGTTTTTCCTCTCCACTGTCGCTACAAGCATGCTTAGTGTGAGGGATTGCTGAAGAGTCAATGAGTTCAGTCAACTGGTTTTCCTTAGATAAAAAACTTTGAATCAATTTAACTGTATGATCAGGTGAACTGTAAAGTGCCTTGAGATGACATATGTTGTGAATTGGCGCTATAGAAATAAACTGAATTGAATTGAATATTTTATGAAATTGTGTTCTATGAAACTGGTCTTATAGTCACTCTATTACAGACGGAGTAATGTAATGACAGTCATTTCTCCCTGGGATTATTAAAGTATTTCTTATTCGGATTCCTCGTTGATTGGTGTTGTGAATGAAACGGTAGGATTCTCAGTAAACTTTCTCTGAAAGGTTTGTGGCTCTTGACTTTGACTAGGCCATTTCAAGACTGACTGTAAGCATCAGCTCCATAGGTGCGACTCGTCTCTCTGGAGGTTCCCAAGTCTTTTTAGGTTTATTTTAAGATTACAATCTTGAGAGTAGGGGGTCCCTTCCAGGGGTCGCGGACCCCCTGTTGAAGACCTCCGCTCTTATTCATAAACTATGACTGAGTATTAGGGACCAACTAAAGAGAATTTTGTTTTTTACAGACTGCAATTAGAGAATAAAATAGTAGAATTACCAGAATGAAGTCATTATATTATAATAATAAAGACATAATATTGTAAAGTTGTAATTTACGAGAATAAAGTCAATAATATTTAATGAGAACTCTTGCGCTATCATCCCCTGCATTGAAATGAAGACTGTTGAGGAACATGTAAAGTTATACTTTCATATCAGTTTTACAAATAAGGAAATAGTAAACCTTTTTACACATTAGTATCAAATTATTACTATTTTCGCACAAGGAGGTCAGATTGCTGTTTGGTGCTTTGGCTGCGCTGGTGGTCGCTGCTCAAAGATTTTTTTCTGAAAGGATTGATAATCTGATTACTTTATTATCATTACTTTACTCTAATCTCTTCATATTGCAAAAATAAAGTTGTAATATTCTATTATTTTATTTTATTTTGTTGTTGGCCCTAATAGTCCGTCGTAATAAACACTCCAAGATCTAAAAGTAAAATCTTTCTACTTAATAAAATGTTTGTGATTGGTGAAAAGTTCAGATTATTTGTAAAAATAAAAAAGGTTTACTGGTTGTAAACCAGGTATCATGTTGTGTCATAACACACCGTTACACCCCGACTTATTAGGTAAGTGGAATTAGACGTTACAGTGTTCACTAAAACAGAAAACATAGACAGTTACTTTACAAAAATAACAAAAAGAAAGAAAATAGTAAAAAATAGCTTAGTCTTTAAGGAGTCAATAAATAAATAGTATTTCAAATTAAAATAAATACACTTTTCTTAGATTCATACAGACACAATCCACAAACATACTTTTCATATTTTTTTACACATTGTCCCACTCCTTGATCTCTTCTTCATATTTTAGTCCTCCTTATAAAACAAATCCTGCGTCACTTTGTCAAAGCTTTTTCCTTGTCCTTCCTTTCATTTTTTTTTTGCTGCAAGTATTGCTCTATAAAATAAGTTTTGGTTTTCTTTTCTGGTTTCCTTTTTATTAGTCTGTTCTCTTTCTTTTTCGAATGAAATGCATTTCAAAATGTCACTAGATTGTAAACAAAGCCTCTCTTGTTGACATCCAATGAAAAATGTTTCCTTATGAGGAAAGTTTGCCTTCAGTCAAGATCTTCGTAGCCTTATTGTGTTTTACCATTCTTCCTAACATGTTGAAAACAAGATACATTAGTGTTTTTAGTCTGGTCATTTTTTGAGACATGCACAACTATTGCAGTTTGAGAGGTATAAAAGTGTGGGTTCAGTCTGTCGCCGAGCCGGCCATGCTCACACGCAGATTTCAATGGGTGTAGCCACCAGGAGGCGACCACCGGGGGAACCATTTTCTCGTGGCATTCGGTCATAACTGTTGGTGGACGACACAGAGCTGTTAGTGGAAACAGACACAAAATGTCCCCCGCCGGGGTCCATCATGTTTCCCTTTGCGCCGCCACCACCGCTGCCCCTGTCCACTGCCACGGGAGAGAGTGGCGAGAGTGGCGAGCGAGGCGACAAAGTCTGCTGCTTCATCCTCTCTACCAGGAGCTCCTCGTCTTCTTCCCCTGATGAAGAAGTTGAGATGGTACCGTCTATATCACCACGCATATTCCCTCCTCCGCTGCCGCCTCCAACCATCTCCCTGCTACCTCCCCAACCTCCATTGCCATTGTTGTCATGCTCTGAATCTAGCATCCAAGAGTGGCTAAAGTATCCGAAGACCTCCTTAACGGAGCAGCGGCGGTCCTGCTCCACTGACAGCAGTCGGCGGAACATACGGAGCGCCTGCTCTGTAAAGCGCCTCCACTGAGACGGCACCGTATTTGTCCTCCTCCTCTGCCAGTGGATGAACTCTTGATAGAAAGTATCGGTGGGAAGCGCCTTCTCCCACGGGAAGTTCCCAGTCAGCATGCAAAAGAGCAGCACACCAAAGGCCCAGACATCGGTGCTGTAGTCCACACAGAAACCCTCCTGGCGAGAGGCGTCACAAAGCTCAGGGGCCGTGTAGGGAATGGTGCCACTCACCTGGGGGGAAAAAAACTCAGCAGGTCACATCTAGGTCAGGCAAATAGCCAGAAGCAACCCAGATACCTAAATAGTTACTCACTCTTTTTACAGGCGAGCCAGCGCGACGAGTCATTCCGAAGTCTGACAGCTTGACTTTGCGACACTCTCTGTCAAAAATGAGAATGTTTTCAGGCTTGATGTCCCTGTGGACAAGCTTCTTACAGTGCAGATAATCCAGAGCAATGGCCACTTGATGCACACAGCGCTTTGCCACCGACTCCGGGAGACCAACCTGAAAGGTCAGAAGAAAGGAATATTAATATTAAGCACTAGCCGAGGAATAGACAAGGTTGAATGGTTTACAGAAGGTGTAAATTTAAGATTCATCTTCCACCATCTGAAGTACTCTGGGTAGCAAGAAAATTTATGAATTAGGACAATTCTAGCTCTTTGCCTCAGAATGGAAAAGTTTTGTTTGGAAAAATGCCATTAAAGTATCCAGTTACATCAGCTATTTTGGGTTGGTTAAATGGCATTACATCTTTTTAGCATCTTTTTAAAAAAGCTCAGATTGCATCGCTGGTGTGCATATTCAACTGCTTGCTTCAAGAAATAATGGAGAATTGCCATATTCAAGCCGGAAGAGAAAACTATTGGTACAATTGGAAATATACAGAGTACAGAGTTTATCAATTAGGAATTCCATGTCTATGTCGCTTAGAAATGTGGATTTCTTTTGAAGGACCAGAATCCTGGTGATGCACTTGATGTACAGTGATGTTCTATGTTAAAGGGAGTTTTAAAGGGAATATCAAGAGTTTTGTAAAATACAATGAAACAATCATCAACTGTAGTATGTTGGCACCTGTGGAGGAATGATGTCAAAGAGGTCTCCTGCCACAGCGTACTCCTGGGCAAAGACATAGTACTCGTCTGTCTCAAAGGCGATGCCGAACATGTTGATGATGAAAGGGCAAGGGGACAGGTAGAGTGAGATGCTATACTCGCGAAGAAACGATTTCAGCTTGGTTGTCTTCTTCTTCAGAAACTTCAGGGCCATTTTTGTACCTTTTGAGAAAGGACAAATTAGAAATTCTGGATTATTTTCCCAAGAAACACCCTACTGTATCTAAGCAGGATGTAAACTGTGCATCCGCCTGATCCCTCACCTCTGATCTTGTGGATGACCAGGTCCACCTTACCATAGGTGCCCTTCCCCAGCTCCCTGATCACCTCATAGTACTTGTTGACCTCCAGCCTCTCCAGGTTCTGTGCAGCGATCAGCTGCAGCTCATCCAGGATATCCACGTTAGAGCGAGAAACCAGCGGAGAGGAGCTCATGGTGGGGGCTGCTTCAAACGATGGACTGGGGTGAAGAAGCGGTGAGTGAACTCTCAGGCAGGACATACGAAGCAGCCAACAGCTGGTTTCACTGCACAAAAAAACAGGAAGGGGAATGAATCTCTAATATTTTGGCCTCATTTTTATTTTTCACTGACCACATGCCATGTACCAGCCTGCATCACAGCCTCCACAATCATCTCTATCTGCAAACAAACAAAGACTACAGGATCGGTGCAACACTAATTTTTGGATCTCCTGCACTTCACTTACAGAGCCATCAAAAGTCATTAGAGGATTTAACTAACATGTCATTTACTACACCCTGCCTCATTAGAATGCCCTAAGAACCTACACCAGGATCCTCCTTATGCACTTCAGCTCTGCTTTTACACCATCATCCTGGTCCTGCAGCAGGACCAGCTCCCCCAGCTAACCATACCTGACCTTTACTACAGCCGCCACACCATCCAGCTCCTGAAGTTTATGGATAACACCACCCTTATTACGCTCATCTCCAGGACAAGTCTGCTTACTGGTTAGAGTTTACTATCTGGTGCAGAATTGTCTGAAGATCAGAGCTTTGAAAACAATGGAGAACAGAGGAGTTGTATATTTTTTGACATCCCCCCATGCTCCCCCATCATCCTGTGGCATTCTACAGTCACCTCCGTAGACTAATTCTACCACCTATGCACTGTCATCTCTAATGACCTGAAGCAAGAACTGAACACCGTCTCCCTCGTCAAGATGAAACAGTAAAGGATGTGCTTTCTGCGGTAGCTTTAGATTTTTAGCCTGCTAAAGAGATTGGTGATGCTTTTCTACTCTGACATTATTGAGTTCATATTTTTTCACTCTGCAGAATGAGTGATTGACTGCAATCTTGCTTTTCTAGAGGAAATGAAGCTAAAGCAAAAATGAAATCTGGAAGACTCTTATCAGCTTCACCTGAACCACCTGTGATTTCCCTCTTTCAGCTCCAGTCAATCAACTCGGGAGCCGCATCTTCTTCGAAGCCAATCATTTTGCCTTTATTTCACACCTTGCCCAGCTTCTCTTTTTCATCCACCTCCACCCCATCTGCTCCCACATTCTCAGTCCCACTAACGCTCTGGCTTATTCCACCACCACTGTCCGGATCCCAGGTTTCCCATCCAAGCGTACGCCGATTCACAGCATCGAAGTCTTCCGCCGGGGCCCGAGCCCCAAATAACTTATTTCGTTTATCTCTTCTTCTCCTGTCTCCTTGAACCTCATTCGGCCTCGGCAGATAGCCACTCCCTCTTAACTTGGATCTGCCAGAGGTTTCTTCCTGTTAAAAGGGAGTTTTCCTCTCCACTGCTGCTACATGCATGCTCAGTTCGAGAGATTGCATAGAATCATTCACTCCTTGCAATGAGCTGTTTTTCCTTAGATAAAAAATATTTTGAAGAGTATGATTGTGTTACCTGTATAAATAAAAACTGCAACTGTTCTCTATGTGAGTCCTTCCAGGTGAACTGTACACCTCTAGGACCCAGAGGCATACCAGTAAAATTGCCTCTGACCCCTGCCACCCTGGACACAGAGTGTTCCAAACTCTCTCCTGTAGCAAGAGGCTTCAGTCCATCAGAACCAGAACTTCCTGCCACAAAAACAGCGTCTGCAGATAGATTAACAAGACCTGCAGTTGAAATTTCTTTTTATATTGTCCTTATTGTATACTCACACTGGAAAAATTATCTAGAAATAAGTATAAATTTCTTAGATTAAGTGGATTTACCCTTAATTTAAGTAGGTAAATGAGGTAGTCTGCCAATGGAATGAGTATTTTTACTCTTAAAATATGATAATTAGATAATATGGACTTGAAATAAGACAATGCATTTTTTTTTTAAGTGTAAACCGTCTTGTTCCATTGGCAAAATGTCTCTTTTAATTCCTCAATCCAAGAACAAATACACTTATTTTAAGAAAAAAAAAGACTTATATAAATTTCAATTTTTTTCCATTGTACAAGATCTGCTATGCTAATCTTCCTCTGGAAAATCTTTCTGTATTCTCACATCATTCCACACAACTTGCTGTTCTATACTTTGTTATTCTACATTATTTTATGTGAACTCCAGGTTTCCTTGTTAATCCAACATCGAAACCTGACAGTAAAGCTTCTCTGGTTCTGATTTACTCTTAATTTAAATAGCTCACATCATTTCTCTCCATGGATGAGTTTGTGGTTTGCCATGAGCAGACTGTGAACTTCCAACACAGCTGCACTGTAAAGAAAATCAGCGGTAACATATTGACGGCGCATCACCATCATCAACAACCTCTGCGGTTCTTTTTACACCTTATTTTCCCTCCAGACTGCTGGGAGAAATAGAACCCTCAGTGCTGCAAGCGAACGCGGCTGAAATGATCCTATTTTGTACCATTTCAATCTTTCCGTTTAATGCATGACTCTAAACTTGCCTCATAAGATAAGGCTTGATCCTGTAAATGTTGTATAAGGCTTAAAAGCAAAGGCTAGGTTGCTTTGCAACTGAACATCTTCAGGCAAGGTTTCTCTGAATCAGAGTGAAGTTTTAAAGTAATAACATTGGTTTCTTGTTTCAGCGCTTTAACAGAAGTACCTGGTTCAGCAAAGGAAAACAACATTGAAAACTGTGTTAGAAATCATTTAGGTAGATACATTTCAGGTTAAATTTGATTCTTTGTGGGCTCTAAAGGGTCAGAGAAAGGATCTTATCCAAAATAATTACAAAATATGACCAATAAATACATATTTTCTACAGACAGGCTATAAAGCAACCAGATATCACACATTTGCTCTATCGTTATAGGAATGAGACGAGCAACAGTTCAGGTTTTGTTTGCATCTTTCTCTGAACATTTAAAATGTGAAAGAAATCTAAAATTTTTGGCATCATTTGTTCATTCAGGTTGGTTGAGCGATGTTAAGGTGGTTGCCCGTCAGGTCTGCAGCGTGGTCGTCGCTGAAAATGCTTATTATCTGCAGTGAGGGCCTAAGTAATTTTAAATGCTACTCCCCATGGGTGGCTGCTGGAAGCTGAGTCACACATACACAAACAGCCAGCCAATAACAGTCAGCTCCAGAAGATCCCTTTCCTACTGCAGTGTGTTTATTCTTACCGATTGCTTTCTTTTTTTCCTCCTTCCTGAGCAGGCTGATCTGCCAAGTCCTGACCTACAGCCTTATAGATCCAGGCGCATGTGGAGGAAACACGGGAGCACATACAGCCCAACACTCAACAATTATATAAGCTGCTCAGAGAGTTGGATTGCTCTCATATTTACAGCTTTTTTTTCCTCCTTGTCTTCAACACTCTGCTTTGCCAATCTCCTCAGAAATCCTCTTTACATCATACTTCCTACAGACGCTTTGCTATTTGCCACCAACTTCTCTTTGATGTCTAAAAAAAGCACCGGCGAGCTCTCATAACTCCTGGCTTGTGAAGTCAACTCTTGTCATTCCCACTGCAGGTCTTTATGTTCCTCTGTGGGGGTTTTATCTCCTTGAGCGATGCCGACTGGGAGAGAGGTTGATGGCAGCAGGTGAGGAAGAATGAGTCAGTTTGGGTGATGCATGGCGCCACAGAGAGCTTGCACTTTTCTCTTTGTTTCTCTTGTGCAATAAAATACAAATACACATTTATAGGAGAGGCCAGGGAGTTGTTGTGCAGACTAGGCCATTTGTTTCTGTCATGGATCAGAGTTGCTTACTTTATCTAAACACTTTTTAGTTTTTTTGTTTTGTTTTTGTTTTGGTATTTTTTTTCGTGTTTGTGTCCATAAAATAGAACTGCAGATTAGATAATAATGAGTGTCTTGTAGCAAAGATTGCCATGGATTGTAGGAACAAAATAACAACTTGATTGGCTGTCAGAGAGAAAAATTTGACTTTTGTTTTTAGCAGATCAAAATTCAACTAAACACTACATTTCCAGTGATCCTGTCTTCTAGCTTATCATCTATGCCGACATTTAAGTATAAAATGGAGTTTGATGCAAAGAAACCAAGCACAACTTGTGCTAAATTATTTCCTGTCCTGCATTTAAAGTGTCACTTTTGGTAGCGTCCGAATACTGTCCCATTTTTTTCTTTGTTTTCTAGTTTTATTGGTTTAATTCCTATTTTGTTGTGTTTTCTGGATATATTTCAGTTCTTAGGTATTTCTTGATTGCCCTCTGTTGCCCTCCTGTGTTGCTCTCTTTTACCCTTCTAGAATCCTCTGTTCGCACCTGCTCCCAATCAGCTCATTAGTCCAGCCTTTGTTCAATCTAACATATCTACTCTCTCTATGCAGTTCCTTATTGTTGGTTCCTCATCTTTTCCTGGCTCCCCATCTGAGTTTTCCCATGAAATTGTATGGTTTTTCGTTCCATTTATTTTGTACTTTGTTTTTTGGATTTTTTTTTTTTGCCTCAGTTATTTAATTAAATCTTCAAGAACTCACCTCTGCCTCATTTTCTCTACATTTGGGTCCTCAAAACCTCAACCCAACCCTGACAATTACTGTATGCAGATCCATAATGTGGAATTAGCAATGATATGCTACATCATGCCGTCAAACTGGATGCATTATTATTTCAACAAATCATTTTATAATGGTGTAGTGAAAACTTGAATATATTTGGCATAAAAACATATTTTTGAATACTTATAGAGGAGGGCAGGAATGGATGGGAAAATAGATTTCTATGTGTTTAATTGCATTTGTATGTTTTACGTCAATGCATACCTATAGTTATCTAATGTGTTTTACATTTGTGAAATTAATGTAATTTTTCTGAAAAAAAAAAAAAAGCTTCTATTCACCCCATTTTAGAACAGGAATCTGTTTTGAGTGTGGAAGTTTTCTATGTGTTTATTATCCATATTCTTTTGTTTGTATTTGAAATACATGTCTTTCTTTCCTTCATTCATAATAATAATTTTATACAGTAAAGAATCAACTGAAAATCCAGGAATTAACTTTCATTGAATTGATTGCCTCCATCTCATACATTTATATATAAAATTAACAAATAAAGGAATAAGGAAATTCAAAGGTTTAAACTTTTTAGGAGATAAAAAAGAGGTTTTCTT